GGAAAGAAAACTGGTAGGGTTTCAGTTAGAGTTAGACGAATGAAGGGACGGAATCACTAGTGCGAGACGATAGGCACTGAAAGGGTGAATCACAGATAGAGAAGCCGATTGATTATTCGATCGGTAAAAGGTGTGGTCGATGTGGCCGAAATGGTCGAAATGGTCCAAGTGTTTCATGCGGTCGATAGTAATTAATTAGTTTCTGTATTACGTGGTGCAACTGAAAACCGTACTGGAACCAATATATATATATATATATATATATATATATATATATATAGGGTACAGCGGGGGTTAAAGGTCCGCGGGTACAAAGGTCCATCACCGATATCTCAGAAACAAGTAAAGTTAAAAGTTTTCTAACAACAATATTTTAAAGTAGAATGAAAAATATGTATAACCATGACCTTGGTTCATACGACGGTGATATTGGGAGAAACACGGCAAGATTTGAAAATCAATAACCAAGGTATTTTCTTTCGTTGTTAGTTTTTCTGGTCGTGAGCACTGTTGCGTAGCTTACTTATTGTAGACCCTTACATCATTTTTTAGTATACATTATTTAATTGTTTTATACGATGTATACTTGATTTTAGGTTAGATTCAATAGTTTTTTTATATAACCTTTAGAAAAGCTTACACCTGGGTGGAGTAAAAAAGACCAACTGAACCTTTACCTTGGCAAAGTAGTAAAAAATAAAAAATAGCAAATAAAAAAGTGAAAATTAAAAAAAAAATCAAGAGAAATTAAATAGATATTCCAACTCTGCTGATAAATGTTTCTGACGAAGTACCATATCAAGGTTTTATACGGTGTTATCTTCGTATAAAATGTACCCGTATTTCGCCTCAGTCAAATAATTAAGCTATTATTTCGTAAAATTTCTTTAAAATTAAAAATAAAACAATAAACGATCAAGTTACAAATTTTTGAAAAATAGCAAAAAAAGCATCTATACAGTGATGAATTAGCTGGGACTTTTTAATTTTTTACACCTTTGCCAGCGTAGAGGTTCAGTTCTGACTTAAAAACAACATTACATCTTATAAAACAATTAAATAACGTATACTTAAAAATAATATTATATTCTCGTAAACTAAACAACAGTGCTCACAACCCAAAAACTAACAATAAAATTAAATACTTTTGTTACATATTTTCAAATATTGCCGTTTTCCTCCTGATAGCGACGTCGTAAAAATCAAGGCGACGGCTCGTTATACATCATTTGCCATCCATTTTCAAATATTGTTGTTGAAAAACTTCTAACTTTACTTGTTTTTTTTAGATATCAGTGCTGGACTTTTTTACCCGCGTACCTTCAAGCCGTGAAACAGGGTATATATATATATTTTTATATATATATATATATATATTTATATATATAAATATATTTATATATATATATATATATATATATATATATATTCAGAACTCAACACGGGGTGACAAACTTCATCATAACCATGATGAAAAAATTAGAAAAAAATATCTTATGTATTTTGAAAATTATGAGCTTTTATATCAAACCAAAAGCTGTAACCATTTTTCTCGATCGCTCACAACTCTCTATGTATCTTCCTATTTTTGTTCTCTCACAGTTATATATATATATATATATATATATATATATATATATATATATAATATAAATATATAAATAATAATACCAAACATTGCATTTTAATCAATTCGTTCTAATTACATAAATTAACTAGCATTTTAGGAAAGTTGTTTCAAAACTTAAGAACGTTTAAAGATTTTTTTATTTTCATTTATGTGTGTATATATATATATATGTATACATGTGTATATATATGTTTACATTTAGTAAAGCTAGGGCAACATGTAAGGGGGTAACTAGTAACGCGTTTTTCAATAATATCTTAAAAGATTTTTTTTTCATCTTGATTGGACATGTAAACCATCCTGTATAATATCGTCATAGCTACTCTCCCGCAGGATGACGCAGTGAACAGAACTGTGCAGGTTTGTCATTTTAGTCAGGTAATGTAAAATTGTACTATCATAAAATTTCGGTTTGTATTATTATTATCTACTAACTTTTAGAATGTGTAACAATTTTTGTTATTGCTAAATTATTTAAATAGTTATCTTGATTAATGTAAAAATATCACAACTGAGGCTAGTTGAAATAAAACCGTTGGATCAGTTGTACCTTATAACAATTATATACAAATTCAAGTAAATTGTTTTCACTAAATTGGGTGAAATTTATAGTTTGTAAGATATGGACAAATGTAAATTGTGTTACAGGAGACACTAGATCTTTTGCTTGTATTATGATAATATTACCAACATGTGTTTTTAATATCAACATAATATAAAATTTACTTTTCTGTCGACAGCCTGCCTGTCCGAAACTATAATAAATAAATTAAATAAAATTGTGTAAAAACTTCATAAAATTATATATTGATGCGTTGCTCCAATATTTATTAAACTAAATGTATAATAATAAGTAAACGTTTCAAATCCATTATACAATTCAATTATCGCAATGCAACTTAATATTCAAAATTTCGATCACTTAATTTTTTTTTAAGAAGTATCGTCCTTTTTTAAATCTGTCAATTGCAACGGCTCTATGAGGTTCAAGATATCAGTCCAGTATGCACAAAAAAAAAATGAGTAATATAAACTTTTCATCGCATTTCAGAGCCCCTTTCCGACGGGGGTATCGATTAGTTAAATGGCGCGATTCCTGAACAACTCGACTAAAAGCCATTAATGTACTTCAATAGACTTACGCAACTTATATGACGGCGTCGTGAAGAATTAATGTATTAAGCGAATTATTATCCGAAATATTCAAGTTCTGAACGACACCACCATATGAATATGATGGCGCCTTCTTGTAACGTAATATTAAATTGAAACTCAAAGGAGTGTGCCATTAAAATTAATTTTTTTTCAGAAATTTATGGTTAAAGCTATTAGTGTCTGAATATCTAAAATAGACAAGTATTTGTCCATTTTCAAATATCACATTGTTTGAGAATTTTATGTATTGTTGAACTGTAATTGCATTTGCACACGCAATTTACCAAATAATTTTCTAAAAAATAATTCCATCATAAGCTAAAAATATAGATCTATACGAAGATTAAGATAGTGAGAAAAATTCTTATACATATTTTGATTATTATTCAATTGCCACACAATATGTATTTCATGTGCATTTATAGCATAGGTGTTTTACAGTTTAACACTTCGATTTTGGCATATTTTTAATTATTTGTGCACATGTTAGAATTGGGTTAATAAGGGTGACTAAAGCAAATGGTCGTAGTTCGAAGTTTTAGTTTTTAGCATATTCCTGATAGTTTTAGCGCAATCTAGGTAGAACATGCTTATAGTTCATTTCAAACGATCATTTATGTAATGCTTGAATTACGAAAACATTATGCCCCTTCCCCGAGCAAATGTTTTCCTAGGCAGATAAAAATTACCTAGTGAAAAGTATATTTTGGATTGTAAAAAGTAGTTTCAGGACAATAGAAATAAAAGTTTAATTTGGAAGATTATTTTATACAGTTTATTAGTTAGCGCAAAGATGCCTTTACTATTCGAACACCTTAATCGGCATTCTAGAAAATAGTGTATATTTGACGTATCAAAATTTTGCGATCACTTCTGCAATAGCATACTATCATCAATGTTGTGGCTTAGAAACTATTGTGATTCTAAAAAACTCAACTAGAACCACCTGCGTGGTGTCAATTGGTTTTTTTTACATTCGTGTCTGACATTTTAACACGCGTATTTTTAATGGTGTCAAATATGATGTTGGAATCGTAATCTAACATTTTTCATTTACTTATTTAATCCTATATATTATGTAATTTGAGATTACTAATTCAACAATGCAGGACAATTATATTACAATAAATAAATACTGACTAGTAATCGTCGATTTCCATCAATATACTCATCACATAGCACTTTGATGAGTATCTGCTAAACGACAATATTTATTTAAAATGCTTTACAATTGATTAATTGAAACACAAAGTATATTTAATTAACACTGAATGATATTGTTATACAATTAGAATTGATGATGTTTCAAAACTTATCAGTAATATCCGCAACGAAATATTTGAATAAAGATAATAGGTATACCACACAATTATCGATTGCCGGTTTTGAGCTATGTGATATAACTGATATATTAATAAAAAAAAATAATTTGTATTTGTGACATATAAAAAACTATATATATATATATATATATATATATATATATATATATATTTTCTATATATATATATATATATATATATATATATATATATATATATAGAAAAGAGCAATAATCATCAAAAAATTCTATATGTTTAATTTAATTTAATTTAATTCTATATGTTTTATACAATTATTGGTGAATGCTAAATATGCAAAACGATTTCCAGAAAATATATTTCTAAAATGAATATGCAACATTAAATTTAAACCACAACTTGCGTCTCACTCAAATTTTCATTTTATCGTTTGATATAATACTTTTCAGCATTTATGCTCAATGCGATTTTTTAAATTTCTTGTTTTAAGTGTTATTCTTTAAATAAAATATGATTTTTATGCTTTTAACTACTTTGTAGCGTGAGTTAATGCACTTTAGAAATTGCACATACATATAAAATATAGTTAATGATTATTTTTATTATATGTTACTTATATTTATATTGACTTATTATTAGCTTTTTCATGATTATCAATGCTAAATTCGTTTCTCAGATACCTTCGCAATATGAATGAATTCGTTAAAGTTTAGCGCTATAACTATCCGTTCAACAGGTCACAAATATATTAAAGGTCTAACATTTATACAAAACATTCAGATGTAACGTTTAAGATATTAATGATTTGTCAAGCCTGAGATTACAAGATTAATCTCTAAAATCTATCATAAAGGGTGAACGAGCCCATCATGGAGCAGTTGGTCAACGTATCAGTCAGTGGGGCATTTGAGCTTCTAATATAGGTAATGCGATGAAGCGGGCGGCCGAGGGGGCGGCGGCCTTGCCTTTATGTAGCGCGGATTAAACGGCCCCAGAGCCGCTTCATTCGTTGACGAAGGAGGCGGAGGAGCCGCCGGGAAGCGAAAATGTTTCCGCAACTTGAAATGTGCACATGGTATGAAACTGCCGAGTGATTGATAATTCAACGCCCAATATACCACCGGATTTAGTGCAGAGTGTGCATGGCCTAGAAGCAGAGCGAACTGAGAGACCCGTGCGGGTACAGTCGGCAAGAACGTGACAAGGACGTGCGGAGCCCAGCAAGCCGCAAACGCAACCGCCACCGCCACAAGCATGTTTGCCAGGCGTCGTCTGCTGCGCAAGGTTGATGCCTGTGGGCGACGACCTTCTGGGGGCTGCGGTTCCGCATTTCGTTGTGCATGTCTAGACGGACCGCGCTGGGGACCGCGAGTTGCCGGTGGATGATGATTCACGACAGGTGGTCGCATGCAGCGGGCGCGTTCCGCTAACTCGGCCTCGGCGCCGTCCGCCGAATCGCGTCGATATAACGTCTCTCGACCAGGCGGCCCCATTCCAGCTACTATTACGACGTGAGTCGAACGCCGTAGCAGAGGCACCGGTAGAGGCAACTCGCCGTGTGCGGCACGAGCGGTCAAAGATAACGCGCAAAGTTCGGAACGCACTCCCAGATGGGCGCCTACGACGGCCACCGCTGGCACCGCGAATATAATCACTAACAAAAGCATTCGTATGTGATTCGGCGTCGACGTGTCCACACAATGTAAATCTTCCTCGCGCACTTGCCGGCCGAGGAGTTCTGGTGCACAGAGCAACGCAGCAGCCAGCCATGCTCCGACGGCCGAAAACGCACCTGGTATGCCGCTCTGGGAAGATAATCGTGGACGCTTCACAGTCAAGTAACGATCCATTGCAAGACCCATTAACGATAACGTACTTGCCGCTACTGGAAAGATCTGTGAAAATGTCAGTAACACTCAAATACTTTTGATTTATTTTATAACATTTACATACAATTCAGAGCAATGACAATTCCTAATCATAAGCAAAATGCGCCATACATGTGAATATAATTTTGAAGCATGTATACAATTGCGTGCAGAATTGGACACATTTATCATACATTGTATAATGTAACTTCGAACATAAAATTATGCCAAACCACATACTATATAGAGATAAATGACACGAACGATACCTTAAGAAATTACACATAAATTATTGCAGCTTCTACGCAGAAGACAGGCAATGTGATATAGTACAATGAACAGAAGCTACTGTTTTTAATATAAAGCTATCATAAATACAGCACGAGCAAGTACATTCATTTCGTTACAAGGATAATAAGTTGTTATATAATACTTGCAAAACCACAACATTGAAACTATTTTCCAAAGTATCATAAATAAAAATATAAATAATCCGGTATGACAATGTAGTAAAGTCGAAGTATTTTTAGACGAAACTTCATGTGATCACATTATTGACCATATTATTTGCACACAATTGTTTAATGAATAATTATAACAAAAAAGAAAAGACAACGTAGAATAAGTAATAACAATATATGACAAATAATAATCCGTTTTCAAACATTTAAAAACATGTTACATGTTCATAACATTGAAATATGTATTCAATAAATCAATATGTGTTTATACCCTACTAACCAATAATAGTCAATTAATACATCAAACGATATTTTTAAGCTTAAAAAATATTATTTTTAATTTAATTTTTATAAATCAAATATAATTACTATTTGAGCAATTTTCAAATATTGATATCAAACAATTAATAGTGATAGGTAGTGATAGTGAAATTTATAGAAATAAATACATTATAATAATACATAACTATATTATAATAATTATATATTATATAATAATTAATAATTATATTTATTGCACAAATTGTACGCTGTATATTAGCTTATCATATTTTATTTGGGAATGATTGAGGTCATTATATAAAATAGTATACTAAAATATCACAATATCAAGAAAAGATCATACTACTAAATCAAAAAAATCACCGTATCTATTAAAATCATCAGTATCTATTCAAATATTGTCGTGGTAGTAAGCCATACAAGTATTTTGACATTATTGTGATTAATTGTAAGTAATTATTAAATTTAATTTAACATTATGTGCTCAAACTCATCATAATACTTCGCTCGATATTCAATTCAAAGGTTGTAGTGCCATGATGTTCACCTACAATCAATTTTATGCCAAGAAATAACTTTTCATCGACGTGATATCATTTACAAAACGAATTGCTATTATAATATTTCAAGCCATTTAGTTAATTTTACTACCTGTATTTTAAATAATCCAACGTCAGAACATAAAAAGCTACAAATTATTCTCTATATTGAGTAATAAACAATAACTAGTAGTGCATGGCATCGTGTCTTGAGGCAAATTGCTGGAAGTTCCCGTACCAAAAATTAAAATTTTTCTTTTAGAACTGTAAAAAATCGATCTCTGAGATTTTTGAAAAAACTGACCTCTTTGAAAAATTTGATTTTTTTTATACTTGGAAATAATTTGGAAATTTTGAACTTTTTTTCGAAGTAATCGTGATACGTTAGCTGCGTAGAAACAAAATATCAAAGCGCGTGGGCGCCGCGTCGCGGTGTACGGATAAACATTGACACGTAATCCATAGTAAAGTGAACAAAATTTGTTATTATTATTAAAATATCTATAAAAAATGTGATAATCTGATGTACATTTACATAACGATTATTTTTGACCGCCAAATGGCAATTTTTTCACTTATTTCATTGGATCTCCGAAACCGCTAGACCTGCCTTAATTTCTTCATTTTGTCAATACAAATAAAATGCTTATTAAATTATACCAAGCTCCGATCTCTCAAAAAATAAATTATCATTTTTGGCACTTTTTGCCTCATATCTCGGTAACGGGTGGTCTTGCCTTTGCCAAGAACTAATCAGCACGTCTCCTTGTTAATACGAATCGAATGTTTTTTTAATTATTCATATCGGTTGACCCGTATTCCCAAAATCGTCGACTAAAATTTGTATATGAATATACACACACATACATATACACATACATACACACATACATACACAGACACATCCATTATTGCTAAGGTATGCCATAATGTTCAGAAAACTTTGAAACGTTAAGCAATATAAACATTTTCATTTTCGATTTTTTTGAGTTCGCTTCGAGCTACCGTGCAGTGCACTTCGTACCTTATCAGGTTCAGGTATATTTCGTGCGTTATTGTAATCAGTTGATTCATAATACCGAAGTGTTATAAATTAAAACAATCATATGTACCCGCAAGGGTACATTTCAGTGTATTAAAATTAATGTAAACACATTGTTCATACGGATTTTCATAATAAAGTGATTGAAATATTTATTGAACAAATACTAAATAGTGTTTAATACAAAGAGTGTCACATTGTTTAACAACTTAATTGTGGACCCCTTTGGGGTTCGTAATGAATAACTTAATTGTGGAGTCGGCAAATGTAATTGACGACGATTCACATACCAGTTCAGAAATTATTACTGAACGTCTACCTAATCAGTCTGCAAATTCAACTTGTTCATCAACAGACATAATAACTAATACTCCCATACCGTTAACTAGCGTTATGGAAGTTGAAACGGAAACTATCAATTCTAATAAAAATAAATGGCAAATTGTCCCGATTGCCGGCGTTAAAAGAAGACGTATCAATACTCAAACTGAACATTCGATACCATTAGGTCATCGATTTAGTGTCCTTACTAATAAAGAACCAGCACCTGTTACTGAAACCTCTGCTTCAGTTAAAAAACCATTGCCGCCTCCCATTTTTATTTACAGAGTTGACGATTTTAAAGGAATGTTAGACGATCTGAAATCTGTGTTAACAAATAATCATTTTACGATTGAAACTTTGCCAGATAAAGTTACCGAATTTAATGTTCAATCTGTTGAAGATTACCGTAATTTTGGTAAATTTCTTCGAACTCGAGATATCGTATTTCATACATACCAAATCAAATCGGAAAGGGCATATCGTGTTGTACTAAAGTACATCCACTACAAAACTGATATCAACGAATTAAGGCAGGAAATTGAATCCAAGGGTCATAGAGTTAGAAATATCACTAATGTGTTGCATCACAGAAATAAAAACCCACTTGATATGTTTTACGTTGACTTGTAACCCGATAAAAATAATACTGAAATTTTCAAAATAAACAAGATATTGAATCAAATAATTCATTTTCATCCACCGATTAATAATTCAGGAATTTCCCAATGTAGTCGCTGCCAATTATTCGGCCATACAAAATTCTACTGTAATAGACCGTTTATTTGTGTAAAATGCGGTGATGATCATCCCACTTCAATTTGTTCCAAGTCGCGCGAACCTCCAGCAGTCTGTGCAAACTGTTTTCAATCCCATCCAGCTAATTACAAAGGTTGTGTCATTTATCAACAGATAGTTAATTCTAAAAATAGAATTAACAGAAAATTTTCCGTCAATCAAAACAAGCCTACCGCTTCGCAAAGCTACGCAGACAGGTCTCGCTTTGGCAGACTCACCAAATAATTCAGAAAATCAAAATTCAGCTATCTCTCAATTTTTAGTGGAATTTAAAGCAATGTTCAACCAACTAATGCAACAGAATAGTGTGATAATTAACATGCTATCAACACTAATCAATAAAATAAACTAGTATCAATGGCTAGATTTATTAGAATATGTGCTTGACATGCAAATGGCCTACTACAACATAGGAACGAACTAATTATTTTTCTGAAAGAAAACAAAATTGACGTGCTGTTAGTAAGTGAAACCCACTTTACTAATTACTCCAATATGTACATACCCTACTATAACATTTACCACACTTCGCATTCAGATGGTTCTGCTCAGCTATACTTATTAAATACAACTTAACACACTATGAGGTTTCTAAATATAGCAAGGATTTCTCACAAGCTACATCAATCCAAGTCAAACTCGCAACATGTAACATCATACTATCTGCGGTTTATTGCCCTCCACGCCACGCGATTACCAGCTTTCAATTCTATGATTTCTTCTCTTCTTTAGGACCCAGGTTCATAGTGGAAGGTGATTTCAATAGCAAGCACCCTCTCTGGGGCTCAAGATTGACTAATCCCAAGGACAGACAATTATACAGTGTAATTTCCCAATATAACTATGTAACGCTGTCGACGGGTACTCCAACTTACTGGCCCTCAGATCCCAAAAAGAAACCAGATCTACTGGGATTTCTTTATTTCTCATGGCATCAATACAAATTACACTGAAATTGAAACTAATTTTGACCTTTCATCCGACCATACTCCTGTAATTGCCAGTATCTGCTCATCTATAATTAATATTTCTCGAGCACCATGCCTACACACTGCGAAAACAAATTGGGATATGTATCGCAAAAAAGTTGAGGACAAAATCAATTTGCAAATGAGATTGAAAACGCAAACTGACGTTAATACAGCTATCGAAAACTTCAACAACATTTTGACTGAAGCTGCTTCATCCTCTACGCCTAAACCTGTGCAATCCAATCGACAATCTACTTCCCTAGAAATCAAAAAGCTTATCGCTCTCGCTGCTGAAAACGGAGAGCAAGAAGAAAATGGCATAACAGCCATTTACCCTCAGATAAAACCTACTTTAACAATATCAGTAATAAGCTGAAGAATAGATTGAAAGAAATGAGCAATATTAATTTCACCAACTATGTAGCCGGCCTTAACCGCTTCGATAATTCGATTTGGAAACCAGTAAAAAACCGACTCAAACCATGTGTGCGAAACCCGCCAATTCGTTGGGATGCTGACAACGACTCGACTTGGTCACGAAGTGATAAGGATAAACTGAAGTTTTTGCCAAGTATTTATA